TGGCACGCAGAATCTTTCGTTGCACTGCACGAGCTTCTCTCTAGTTGTGGCGCGCGGGCTCCAGAGCACGTGGGCTCAGTAGTTGCGGCACGCGGGCTTAGTTGCCCTGCGGCATATGGGATCTTAGTTCCCTGACCAGGGATCGAATCGGCGTCCCCTGCACTGCAAGACAGATTCTTAACCACTGGACCAATAGGGAAGTCCCCGTATATTTATTTAAAAACAACAAAAAAGGCACTGCTGATAGGGAAGCACTGAGGGCTTATGGGGTGAGTGTCCAAAGATGACAGCTCAGTGAATGCAGACAGAATCCAGAGGTGCTTCTGAGATGTGTTCTGTAACTTTCTTTACATCGCATGGGCTAAAGAATAGATCAGCACCACTAAGGGGTACCAAAAAGGAGGAAGAATTACACATTCACAAGTCAAAATTCTGTGTTCTGTTTCTATTCTAGAGGAAAACTTTTTTTTTTTTTTTACCAAAAGTAAGAACTTTTGTTACAAATACCCCTATAAGTGAGAGCTACAAAGTCCTCTAGCTGAGCAAGTCTCCAGGTCTGTAGGAGTGGCTGCCTTTACTGTAAGCGGAGCATCTTATTTAATTAGATAAGAATTAGATAAGTGAAAAGAGAGATGCAAGAAATGTCTTTGCTAATTGCCTTTCCTACACAGGCCTGCATCCTGTTGTTTGGCTTTTAGCTACATTCACACCAGTCATAAGACGACCTTGACTTCAGGCATGTGAGACCAGAGAGGTGTAACCATCTCTTTTCTTACCCTGCCAGGCCTGCGTTGTTGCGTAGGAGCTCCCTGGAGAGGAAGCACATCCAGCTGGGCCCGCTTTTAACACCGTGTATCCCCAAAGGCCGAGGCTGATGTCTACACTCGTCGGGGCCTGGCGCCATGGTTGGTCAGCAGGGCCAGCAGCTGGGAAGGTGAGCTAGACACAGGGCAGAGGGGAGTAAGGATGAGCTGGTACCCATGCTCAGCGTCAGTAGTATAAGGGCCTCACGAGTTTCTGAGAATAGTGGCTGCTGCTTTACTGCTACCTTCCAAATCTTACACAAGTTCCTCTCACATCAAGCTTTAACCCAAAATCACTTAGGGGAGGAGGGTCTGGGAAACAGGGTTCCCCAGCCTTAGCCAGCCTGGTAGAGCACGATCCAGCACACCAGGTCTGGACCCAGGCAAGCTCAGCTGAGTGCCCCCCCAGCTCAGAGACAGCTGTCCTGGCCCAGCTGCACATCCTGATTCTGAGCAGCAGAGGCCCATCCAGGGCACCGTTTGCCTCCAGGATGAAAGTGAGTTATGGAAGCAAGCCCAGTGCGATTCTGGGGCTTTGGCTCGTAGGCTCCAGGCCGGTGGGAACCCCAAAGCCCTCAGATCCAAATTTGACATTTGGCCCCCGGGGCTGTGTAGTGGTATCAGGAACAGCTGCCTGCAGGGTGAGTTCTACTTCCCCACCTTGGACCTGACTTCCTCTGACAGCCTCCTGCAGACAGCTGGCAGTGGCACACCCTCTCCCCACACCCAGGGGCATCCTGGTCTCATTTCTCCCAAGCTTTGCTCCTCCCTGGGTCACCTTACCTCCACCACTGCCATCCAGGCACAGCCCCAGAAAGGCCCTTCTGCTTAGGGATGGCACCTGGGCACGTGCCAGGCCCTTGGGGGCATCAGGCAGCCTCCCAAACCAAGCTCTTCATGTGCAGGTGGCTCTGTGTCAGTTGCAAAGTTATGTGCAGACTTCAGTGAAGAGCAAAGAACTGTTGACTTCTGTCTTATGTGGCACCCAAGTCTCCCTACAACTGTCATGGATAAGACTCTGCTCCAACCACTTTCCAAATCTCCTTTTTAAAAATATAACATTTTGGGGGCTTCCCTGGGGGCGCAGTGGTTGAGAGTCCGCCTGCCGATGCAGGGGACATGGGTTCGTGCCCCGGTCTGGGAAGATCCCACATGCCGCAGAGCGGCTGGGCCTGTGAGCCATGGCCACTGAGCCTGTGCTCCACAATGGGAGAGGCCACAACAGTAAGAGGCCCGCGCACCGCAAAAATAATAAATAAATAAAAAATATAACGTTTATTAAGATTTTTTAGTTTTTAAAGAAAATTCAAAATGGATAATCACCATAATCTCTCCACCTAGATAAATCCTACTGACATTTTTAATAATAAAACTAAATATAAATGATAAAAAATATATATGGTAAGTAAAAAAATATATATAGAAAAGTAAAAAATATATACACGCACGTATATGTAAGATTTGGAAATGATCAAAAAGTTTAGAGAGGTACTACATTTGTCACCTACTATAGTAATAATGCTGTGTAACAAGTAATCTCCCAATGTTAGTGGCTTACAGTGACAAGTAGTGTTCTCTTTATAGGTCTGCAGGTTGGCTGGAGCAGCCCTGCTTCAGTCTGTGGGTCTCCAGGTCTCTCTCTAACCAGGACCAGTGATCACTCAGAGCATGTTCTTGTCACGCCAGTGGCAGAAGCACAAGATGTCAAGCCAAAACACAAAAGCATACGTAAAGCCTGTTTATACGTTTGCTCACATCTTATTGGCTAAAGCAAATCACATGACCAAACTCAAGCAGAGAAGTCTACTTCACCCCCAAAAGGAAGAGGGAGGGGAGTGAACATTTCCTGAACAACATTTCAATCTCACAGGAACCAAGTTAAGAAATTAGGTAACATCTTCCTTCCGACTCCCATACAGAAATACACACATGTGTTGTGCAAATATCCACATGCAAGTTCATATACTTATTTTTAAATACAAAAAGGAGTCCTTTCGTACGCATGCTGTTTGTTCCTTTTAGAGAGTTTTGCAGTAGAGTTCCCCTATTGATTTATTTAATAAACACTTACACAGCACTTACTTGCTATGTGCCAGGCACCATTTTATAAACATAATCCGCATGTATTGGTGCAAAAATATCCTGGGGCATGTATCTGGAGAAATTTCAGAGTGTGCTTTTAGGCTAACTGCACAGAAGTGGGGTTGCTGGGAGTATTTTTAATTTTCATAATTATTCCCTAATTGTCTTCTGGAAAGAGTGCACTGATTTACGCTCCCACCTACCGGGTAGAAAAGTGTCTACTTCTCCATCATCACCAGCCCTAGGGCATCACAGTTTTCCATTTTTGTCAATCTGATAAATGCACAATACATTTCACTGTTGTTTGTTTTAGATTTCCTTCATTAAAAATGAGGCTGGGCAGCTTTCCCACATTTATTGGCCATTTGTATTTATTTTTCAGTAAATTGCCATTCACATCCTTTGTCCATTTTTCTGCTGGGTTATTTTTTCTTATTGATTTATGTGAACTCTTTGAGGCTGGGAAATTGGCCTGTCACATTTGTCTGCCACAGATGTTGCAAATATGTTTTCCCAGATTTTTATCTATCTCTTGACTCTGTTATGGTCTACTCTATCAAATGAAAGTTTTATTTTTATGTAGCTCAATTTATTGATTCTTTCCTTTCTGAGTTCTAGGTGATTTTTTTTTCATTCATGCTCTCTTCTGTAATTTTTATGCCTTTATTTTTAACTTTTTAGTCTGAAACAGTCAATCATAGATTTATAGGCAATTGCAAAGATAGTATAGAGAGGTCCCTGTCACCTCCCATCTGGTTACCCCCAATGGTTACAGCTTACATAGTTAAAAGTTATGCAACACAGAAACCAGGAAATTGACATTGGTACAATGTGTGTTCTGTGCCATCTTACCACTTGTGCATATTCATGTAACCAACACCACAATCAAGATACAGAACTCTTTTTTTTTTAATTTTTAAAAAAGTTTATTTATTTATTTATTTTTGGCTGCATTGGGTCTTCGTTGCTGCATGCAGGCCTTCTCTAGTTGCGGCGAGCAGCCTTCTTATTGTGGTGGCTTCTCTGGTTGCAGAACACAGGCTCTAGGTGCCCGGGCTTTAGTAGTTGTGGCTCGCAGGCTCAGGAGTTGTAGCTTGTGGGCTCTAGAGCACAGCCTCAGTAGTTGTGGCACACGGGCTTAGTTGCTCCACAGCATGTGGGGTCTTCCCAGACCAAGGCTTGAACCCGTGTCTCCTGCATTGGCAGGCAGATTCTTAACCACTGTGCCACCAGGGAAGTCCCAAGATACAGAACTCTTCCATCACCACTGAGATCATCCTCATGCTTCCATCACCACTGAAATCATCCTCATGCTGTCCCTTTATTGTCAGACCTGTCCTCCTTTCCCCCATCACTTATAACCCTGCACAACCACTAATCTGTTTTCCATCTCTATAGTTTTGTCCTTGTGAGAACTTTATATAAGTGGAATCATACAGTATGTGATCTTTTGAGATTGGCTTTTTTCACTCATCATAATGCCCTTGAGACCTTGATAATGCCTATATCAAGAGTTCATTCCTTTTTACTGCTGAGTAGCATTCCATGGCGTGGATGTTCCACAGTTTGTTTAACTGGTTACCCACCTATCACAGGGCATTCTGTTTTTTTCCCAACTTGGGGCTATTACAAACAAAGTTCTATGAACAGTCAGGCTTCTCTGTGAACACAAATTCATTTCTCTGGGATAAATACCCAGGAGTGCAATTGCTTGGTCATATGCTAAGTGTATGTTTGATTTTTTTTTTTTTAACTGCCAAATTATAATATTTTCCAGTGTGGCTGTTTTCTAATTCACTCTGTCAATCTCTATCTTTTAATTGGTATATTCAGACTATTTACGTTTAATGTAATTATTGATATGTTAGGGCTAAAGTCTGACATTTTATTTTTGTTTTCTGTTCATTCTCTGTTTTTCATTTCTCTGTTTTTCGTCTACCTTCCTGTAAGTTACTTGAACACTTTTTAGAATTCCATTTTGATTTATAAATAGTGTTTTTTAATGTGTCTCTTTCTATACTTTTTTAGAATGTCTTATTATACATACACAACAGATCATAGTCTACTGATGTCAACATTCAGGCAATTCGAGTGAAGTATGGAAACCTTACTTCCCTTTATGTACCTTCACATTCTCCACTTATAATTGTCTTAAATATTTCCTCTACATCATGAGTACTTCATCAGAAAGTGTTTATCATTTGTGCTTAATCATCAAACATAATTTAGAACACTCAAGAATAAAAGGAAAGTCTATGTATTTACCCAAATTTTTACTCTTTCTGTTGTCTTTTCTTCCTTCCTGTGTTTCAAGATTCCTTCTATCATTTTATTTCTGTTTCAAGAATTTTCTTTAGCCATTCTTTTAGGATAGATCAGCTAGTGACAAATTCTCTTGGTTTTCCTTCAACTGAGAAGTTCTTAATTTCCCCCTCATTCCTGAAGGATATTTTCATTTTATATAGAAGTCTGGATTGACAGTTATTTTCTGTAAGCTTTTGGAAAATACTGTGCTACTCTCTTCTGACTTCCATAGTTTTTGATAAGAAATCTACTGTAATTCTAATTATTTTTCTCACATAGGTAAAGTGTTATTTTTCTGTTACTGCATTCAAGATATTTTATTTACCTTTAGTTTTTAGAAATTTTATTTTGATGTGTCTTGGCATGGATTTCTTTGTATGTATCCTGTTTGGGGTTTACTCAGTTTCTTGCATCCATAGGTGTATGTCTCTTGCCAAATTTGGAAAGTTTTCAGCCCTTATTTCTTTGAATAATTTTTAGCCCCATCCTCTCTTTCATCTCTCCCCAGGACTCCTATGAAGTGAATGTTAGATATTTTCTTATCATCCCTCAGTTCCCCAAGGCTCTGTTCTTTCACTGTTGTTGTTGTTTTTAGTCTATTTTCTCTCTGTTGTTCAGACCAGGTAATTTCTATTGGTCTCTCATCAAGTTCACTGACACTTTCCTCTATCCCATCATTCTGCTTCTCCAGCAAGATTTTATTTTATTTTGTTTTTGTTTTTTGGCGCTATGTGGGCCTCTCACTGTTGTGGCCTCTCCCATTGCGGAGCACAGGCTCCGGACGCGCAGGCTCAGTGGCCATGGCTCACGGGCCCAGCCGCTCTGCGGCATGTGGGATCTTCCCGGACCGGGGCACAAACCCGTGTCCCCTGCATTGGCAGGCGGACTCTCAACCACTGTGCCACCAGGGAAGCCCAAGATTTTATTTTGATTATTGTATTTTTCAGTTGTAAATTATCCATTTGGCTCTTTTTTTAATGTATTCTATCTCTTTGCTGGGACTTTCTATTTCTTTGCTTAAATGTTTTATGTTTTCATTTAGTTCAAGCATTTTCATTATTTCTTGCTGAAGCATTTTTTAGAAATTTATTTTATTGAAGCATAGTTGATTTACAGTGTTGTGTTAATTTCAGCTATACAGCAGAGTGATTCAGTTATACATATATATACATTCTTTTTCATATTCTTTTCCATTATCACAGGATATTGAATATAGTTCCCTGTGCTATACAGTAGACCTTGTTGTTTATTCATTCCATATCTAATAGAATCTAATCTGCTAACCCCAAATTCCAAGTCCATCCTCCCCCAGCCCCCTCCCCCTTGGCAACCACAAGTCTGTTTTCTGTTTCTGTGAGTCTGTTCCTGTTTTGTAGATATGTTCATTTGTGTCATATTTTAGATTCCACATATAAGTGATATCATATGGTATTTGTCTTTCTCTTTCTTACTTCACTTAGTATGATAATCTCATGTCTGTTGATTACCTTATCTCATTCAAGTTGAGATATTCCTGGATTTTGGTATGATGAGTGATTTTTCTATGGAAACCTGGATATTTTTGGTATTGTGTTTCGAGCCTCTGGGCATTATTATCTGTTTATCAGGCCTCCTCTGACATCACTCTGTCAGGGGAAGGAGTTGGTGCCACTTCATTACTTCAAGGTGAGTGTGGAAGTTCAGGTTCCCCTCTAGACCTCCCATGACAGCACCCCAGCAGGAAGGGGGAGGGGGAACCCAGGCTCCACACACAGTCTTCACCAAACCCACAGATGGAGGGGTCTCATTACCACCAGCAGGGATGAAAGTCCCTACTAGGGCCTTCTCTGCCACCATCCCAGCGAAGGGGGGCAGATGGGGGTGCCTCGTTACAACCCAGCAGGCTCTTCACTCAGCCTTTGCTGGAGCGTGGGTGTGGGACTGCAGTGTTTTCTGCAGTGTTTGGCAGGAATTTAGCAATTATTGCCTAAAAATTCCTACCTTGCTAGGCTGCCCCTTTTCTGGTCCTTCTGTCTAGGAGAGAGCAGATTTTTCTTAAGGCTTTTTTAATCTGCACCTGTTGGCATTTCTAGGTTGCCAGCTTCTCCAGCACCCAGTCTGGGATATTTGAGGCCACAAGAAAACAGGTAACTCACCACCATGCCGTTCTCTCCATCTTTCAGAGGCTTCTTATATTGTTTTCCATATAATATCCAAGTGTTTTAGCTGTACTTAGCTGGACAAATAGGAAAAAGCGTGTCTATTCCATCCCAGAAACTATGGCTTTATTTTTGAAATAACACATTTAAGCCTCTGATCCGTATAGAATTCATTTTCACAGAAGGAGTGATGTAGGGGACTCCAGCTTCATTTTTCCAGACTACTCTAAGTTATCGTAATACCGTTTATTGGAGAGTCTCACTTCCCCCCACTGATCTGAACCACCATGCACATTTCCATACATATGCAGGGCTATTTCTGAATATATTCTGTTCCATTAGCCTGTGCGCTTCCTCAGCACCAGCTGCTTTATCTATTGTAGCATCACATATAGGTACTGTTTGCTGGAGTCTTTGCTGGAGCTCATGACCTCATTCTTCTTCTGTCCGAGAGCCCATCTCTGCAGATCCTCTCCCCACACCCTCTGAAAATCACTGTATTAGTTCCTGTGGCTGCCGTAACAAAGTACCACAAACTGGTGACTTAAAACAACAGAAATATATTTTCTCACTGTTTGGAGGTCAGGAGTCCAAAATCAAGGTGTCAGCCGGGGCTGGTTCCTTCTTGGCGGCTCTGAAGGAGCATCTGTCTGCTCCATGCCTGTCTGCTGGCTTCTGGTTTGTGACTGCATCACTCCAATCTCTGCCTCCATTGTCACATGGCTGTCTTCCCTCTGTGCATCTCTGTGTCTCTTCTCCTCTTATGGTAAGGACCCCTGTCACACTGATGAAGACCCCTACTCCAGTGTGACCTCAACTGTCTACGTCTGCAATGACTGTATTTCCAAATAAGGTCACATTCTGAGTTTGGGGAAAGACATGAATTTTGATGAGACCCTAATCATCCCGGTACGGTCTCCAACAGGCCACATTTGTCAAGACCTCCCCACAGGGCCTCTCCTCCGCCCCCCAGGTGGTGGCCACTGTACACCCCAGAAGCCCACCAAGCCATCTCCCCTAGCCTGCTCAGTCCCCACTACCCCCCCCCCACATGGGGGCTTCTTAGATGTGCAAGAGGGAATGGCCCATTGGGGGTTCACTCATGGTGGGAACCTCTTGGTCTGCATAACTGTCATACTCCCTGTGGGGCAGGATTCTGGTCAAATCGGGGCTCAAACGGGGGCTCCTCTGTCAGGGCACACAGGGTCCCGGGCTCTCAGAAGTACTGCACAGTAAGGGCAGACACCCATGGAGATGCTTTTCCACTTGCCACCTTGTTCCAAGTTCATGGAATCCTAGGAAATGCCTTTGGCTGTCCAGTGGTTAGGGCTCTGCGCTTCCACTGCAGGGGCCCTGGATTCAATCCCTGGTCGGGGAAATAAGATCCCGCATGCTGCGCAGAATGGAAAAAAAAAATCATAAAATCCTAATCATCAGAGATGCTACTCTGTGTTGAAAACCAATTCGTTAGGCACGTCACAAAGACTATTCCTCCTTCTCAGGAAAGCCCTGATGGATGCACTGCTCCCACTGTACAGAAGAGAAAACTGAAGCCCAGAGGGAGTTAAGTAACCTGCCAAGGTCCCACGTGAGGAAGATGCAGATAGAGATTGGAACCAGCTCTGCCTGGCTCCTCCATCCCCCTCTGGAGGCCCCAGGGACCTTTGAGAGCTAGTCTGGCTGTTTCACTGGGTCCACCCTATATTACTTATGGCACATAAGGCCACCTGGTTCAACCTTGAGATAAGAAGTTCCTGGCAATAGCCTTCACCTTCAGCCAAGGAGGCCCCAGAAGCAGTTAAGGGAATTTGTCCAATCAGCATGAGGGAAGGGAGCCTCTCACCACAATATTACTTTGACAGAGATGAGAGTTTTAATGTTCTCCCTCCTGAATTTGGGAATTTTGCATTTTAAGCTCTTTTGTACCCTTTCTGTTTTTCAGAATCATTAGCACTAGATGGAGGCCCTGCTGGGACCTTTCCAACCATCAGCCACAGGTGAGTGTTTCCATGAACCACATCACCATCTTCAGTCTCAGACAGGGAGCAAAGTGCCCCCACCACTTCCTCCGTGTGACCAGCCCTCCTGGGTCTCCTTTACCCCTGGAGAAGACCAAGAGTCTTGGTGGCTCCGAGAGAGGCTTGGGGGTCAGACTCCAGGGTTCAAATCCATGCTCTGCCATCTGCAGTGCAGTGAGCTTGGGTGTGCAAGAAATTTAACTTCTTTGAGTCTCCGTTGCATCATTGGTGAGATGGGCAATGACAGTGGGTACTCCGAGGGGCTGGCGTCAACTGGATACAGCGTACACACATCTACCATGGTATCCAGCCTATGGAATGTTCTGCATAAATGCAAACTGCCAGTATCACCATCGTGGGTATTACTCTTATTCCTATTATTCAGTCTCAAGGTTATTACTACTATTTCTGTTACTCAAGCAGGACCATGTTTCTTCTCTGGTCTAAGATACAGGAGCCTCTGACTCCAAGGGCCAACCTGGAGCGGGACATGTTTGCCATAATTTAGACCAGTGTTGCTGTGAGAAATTGAGTCATAATTATCAGCTTGTGAGCAGGGCCTGTGTCCAGTAATAACAGCTTGACATTTACACCACATTCAAAGCCCCCCTGTGCCCGCTAGAGCGTGAGGCCTTTGCTGCATCCCTGAAGAGGCTGGAGAGGCAGCTGTCAGTCGTCCTGCAGGCCAGCCGCAGAGAGGACTTCCCTGAGGCCACACGTGTGCCCAGCGCAGACCTGGGCTCTGGCCAACTCTCTCTGGGCTCTGCCTACCCAAGTTCTTATCCTTCTACTCCACCACACCTTCCCGGGAGAATCTGGAACCCTCTCTGGGAACATGTCCTTAATTCTTGGTTCCCAGGATCCAATGTTTCCTGGGGAGATCTTTGGTAGGTTTTTTTGGTTGGTTTTTTTTTTGTTTTTTTTTACAAGGTTTTGTGGAGAAGAAGGATTTAAAGTGTTGTTTTATTTTCTGTTGGTTAAGAAAGTTAGTCTGTTATATT